TTAACACGTCGACAGGGATTATGGTCGTGGGCTGATCGGCGTTTGATTTGCTGTTGCGTTATGGGAATCATCGGTGACCGATGACATTAGAATTTATTAAGACAATAATGTGGAGTAAACGATAATATTTATACGATTTAAAATGGGGGAATATTGTGATATAACCTGGTAGGCATCAATCAAGTAAATTGTGGACTTTGGGAATGTTTTAAGATTATATACTTTGTGCAAGGAAAATTTCAATTCGACGTAATGAGAATGATATGCAAAATTCGCCTGACGGTGAATGTTTAACCTTCGTGCACACTGTTCTGGTTAATTTTGACCCGAATTCGGAGGTTAACTTTTAATTTTGTATATTCTTTATCAGAAAAAGTTGTAAATTGATTCGACACAAATAGTTTACATAATAACAAAGATATTTCTTTGATTCCATTTTAACTTATTGTTTGACCAAGTTTAATTCAAGGAACAGTAATGGAACAATTTATTGAACAGCACACGGAGGTTAATAAATACTAGGTAGGTGAGGACAGTACTGAAGGATTCATTAATTAAAATTTATATGTACTCCAAAATCATCATTTTGCCACGATAAAAATGATATTTAATTATATTAAAATTTATATTTAAATGTTGTCCTTTAATACTGAAAATAACACTCTCTTCTCATTAGTATTGTGTTACGTACGTTATTGCTATTACTATTGTCCTTTAAGGAATCTCATGGAAGCTTAGAATAACACAAAATGTGTTATACTGTCAAAAATGGAAGGTCACAACTGTTTTCTATGTAACAAAAAATTAACAAATTAGCAAAAATAACGCTTGTGATCAGAAACAAACACATTTAAATTATTATATAGACTACTCCAAATACGAACACGTTTAGAACAGACAATGCATTTCATTCTCCATGAGAAAAGCATGGAATAAAAGTATCTGTCACGACGATAAAATTACAGAAAACAATTTGGTGCACTTTGTACCGGTGAACCCCGTCCGATCGTGTCCCGTAATTCCTTTCCCCTGTCGTGACTCCCCAACCTCAAGTCACTGCACGATCCCGTCCAGTCCACTTCCTTCTTTAATGCGCGTGAGATGCATGAACGTATTGGCATTCGTGTAGTCGTAAATTTTGATCGATTAGGCGTTCCCATAAGTTATACCTCGTTTGCCACCGACAAAGAGTGCTTTGAAGTTGTTAAGTCGATTATATTTGTAACTCTGTGTCAAGTTTAACGCGCAAATCGGATGCACACCCCTCCTATAACAGCTTGACACATTGTATTTGTTTAAATATTCCGAATTATCGAATGATTGATAGGTTTTTATCTAAACTTTTATAGTAAGAATTTTTCATATTGTTTAAATAGGAGCAGTATTATTGTATTACAAGAATTCCTCTGTACATGTTATTGTTGTAGTTCGTAACTGTTACAAAGTAGATATATTGCAATTACAATTTACCAAGGATTGTGCGATATATTTGCTTTTCATCACTTGTGCATGTAACCGATTGAATAAAATTAAAAAAATTATACTTCTCACTCCGCAAGAGAAAAAAAGAATATACACACTCAGCATAGATTAGTTATATACAAACACGAAAAACAAATATGACATTCATCAAAATTATTCTGCCCTTTAACTGTCCTGACAAATATGTTTCTAAAAACAAAACTAATAATTATAAAACAATATAACATTACACCTCCCACTCTAACATCTGTACACGAATTCTCCGCCCAATAAGTAACAAAACTCTTTCTGTAACCCCAATGATTATGCCAAACGCTTAAAAAGCAATTTCCAAAAATTCCCAAACTCCGTCGATAAACTAACCAAAGATAGTCACCGTCTTACCCTAACTGCACAATGCACCCAAAGCGTCCACCAAATCCAATCACACCCCAAAAGGATCACCTCCCTAATAAATTCAATCAACCAGATTATTTCACCCCTCTCCCCCTGAATCTCGACTTACAAATCGGCTTCTATTCCCATCAGCCTTTTTTCCCCAATCATCCCCCGTAATCGATCCACGAGTTGTTTTGACAATTCCGCCGGGTCGGATTCCTCGAAGGGGGCGGCGTTGCTCGCGGCCTAGGCTCGACCCCCAATCGCGAGATCGGTGTCTCCCGTGGGATCGGGTTCACGTCGAAAATTGCAGGCTGTGCACCGCAGCCCCGCGCGTATTTTCGCAGGCGCGTGCTGTCCTCTCAAAGAAGGGCCCCCACAGAAGGACCTTGGGGCCCCGTGCTTTAACCTCCCTTGAACGCCTCGTAGGCGTGACCCCATATGCCACTTTCGGCCGGTCGGCCTAACCGCTCGTGGATATGCATTCACGCATTGTGTGCAGTCAGCTAATTTGTCCTGGGGTTCTGTGAACGACACTGAACGCAGTGAAATGACGCGCGCTAGAGACTTTTCGGTGGCGTTCTTTTGGAAGACGTTCTTAGGAGAACTGGCAGATGCAATATCGTGACGGATTCTTTGGAACTTTTGGGTTTGGTTAGTGGAGGGTTTACGAATAAACTGTTTCGAACATGTTTGAGGGAAACATCTGACGAGGAGTTTACACAGGTCAAGCCGAGTTTGATCATGGAGAGGTGTTCGAAATGAAAGCCGCTTTGCAAACTTCAAACCGTCTGACGACGTTTTAAGCTTCAAATAGTTTGATGACGTTTCAAGCTCTAAGCAGTCTAATGACGTTGCAAACTCTAAAGTCCAAACATGTGAAGCCTCAGATTCACCACCACCTCCAGTCGATTGGCAGATGTTCGTAGATCGAGCGGCTTGAAGTTTGGAAGGCTACGTCAAACTGTTTGGGAAAGTTTATAGTGACTCGAGGGTTTGGAGTTTGCAACGTCATCAGACTGCTTGGAGTTTATAATGTCATGAGACTGTTTGGAGTTTGAAATGTCATCAGATTGTTTGAAAGCGACCTTCAATTTAGATATTTTCTTATGATCAAATTCGGCTTGAACTGTCTAAACTCTTCCTCAGATGTTTGAACACGTTTGAACAATCTGATTACTCATCTTCGTAATGTGGTCCCTTGACTGGCATATCTTTCGGTCGTAAGCTCTACCTAGGAGGGTATTGACGAAAGACGAGCTAACTCGTCTTGCTCGTAGCAGACATGAATGTGTGTTACTGTTACTGCTGATGAAAATGGAATAATAGAACCAGTGATGGATGGTTCGAGAATATGATAAAAAGAAAGGTAAACGACACGGGAAGTTCTACTGTCTTTGAAGGAATGAGAAACAAAAAGTATACATATGTTCATTCTTTCGTAACGGATGTTATTTTTTAACATTAGTGACGAGTTTACTCGTCTTGTCCAGTGAAAAAGCATCTTCAAATAACGAGTTAACCTATCTCTGCCGGCTTAAGAAGTTAACGAATTCATAGAACTGATTGACAGTTGCGCACTGTTTGAGAAACTGGTTGTATATTGTTACCTTGAGCTATTTTAGGCGGGTGTACAAATGGAATTGCGGGAATATATTTACCTAGCACTAGATGGTAGTCACTTTAGCAATGTATATGTATAATAGCCAAATTTATTCATTTCTGTAACGAAAGATATGATTAAAAGTTAAACTTTCTGTTTGGGTTAAATTGACTCGAGTAGTAGACGTGGGATGAGAGAAAAGAAAAATCGTAATAAATACAAATCAGTGAACTAGTCATTCTGGAAATATTCAATTACTTGGTTTATAAGGTATACTACAGACTAACTGCTGTCAGTGTTTTAAAAAAATATACTGAAAATTTCACTTACCTCGATAATTAGAACACCTAGAAATCAAGTGAAACTTCTAATATAAGAATCTTCTGCAAATAATTCGTAATAATGAGCGTGTAGTATACTGGATAATCGACGAAATGTCACGTGACTTAAATACATAATTGAACCGATTCAATTGAAGTAACGGTACTAAAATTGCGCGAGTAGATCCAGTGCCTCATGAAGTTACAATTTCCTGCCTTCTCTCCGTACGTTATCGAAAAAGTGAATAATGCAAAGCTTCCCTACCACTGTTTGCTCGAACGATTCTCGACGGTACGGGATTTTTTTCCATTTATACAGTTCACGTGTCGCGGAAGAGTGCTGGGAACCGATGGTGTGCAATCAGAAACGAACCACGATTTTCATATGATACTCCGACGTTTTATTGCCTTCTCGATATACACAAGTTCGCGGGATGCAGCTGCGGTAATCACACGGCCAATCGATAGGCCATCGGCGTGACATGGTGCTCCTCGATGGAGCGGAGCCTCGCTTAATGTAAATTATCTACAAGTTATACCTACGCTCTTATGCCGGATAGAATCTACGCGAATACAACAAGCGAGGGAGGGAGGAATAGTAGAGCGATAGAGATTCGAGTGTCTGACTTTAGAGAATATTCACTTGCAACTTAACTTCAGTTCTTTGGATTCTTGTCTGAAGACTACAGATAGACCCAATTTTAGTTACACGAGCTGAACAACATTTTCGCCAACTATTCAGTATGTACCGTTCCCCAATTCTCCCTCAGCACTCTCGCAAAAGCCATGCCTTCCAATATAGCACACACTCCCACCAAACTCAACATGAGATATTCACCCTACACACGCGGTAGTTCCTTCGCTACTATACACCCACTTAGGTTAGACTTTCGATAGCCTGGCAGCTTCAAATGATGATAACAGGACCCCACTGTCAACCCTGTACACAGGGCATCAATGACACTTTCCGCTTGAGATTAACCTGTATATAACCCCAACTGGTGGAATAATTGTCATTCTGTGTATCAAAACCCATACAATGGTCTTCGTACGCTTCCAGATTGCTGGCCAGCAGCTAGACCTTAGAGGTCCCATCAGTCACTTCACCTCAACATCCACGATCTTTCAGCTCTACCTAACCAACGGATCCCACTACTTCATCTCGCCACAACGTTCTCCAAGTTCCATCACACGCACAGTCCACCAGGCAGTATTCACTACCTCCCAGAGGAGCTAAGCCCGCCCCGATGAGACGGTACTGTGAACGCTCTCAGCCCAACACCAACACCAATTCCCACACCACTGCTCATCGGTGCTTGCACCTGTCCAGACAAATTAATGGACGAATTGACCAGCCCTAGAGCATCCCCAAGAACCGACGAGGACGTGGTGGATGCTGGACTCTCACTAGATGGCCTGATTCTAGGAGGTCTGGCGCATTTCTCCAAATGATGATGATGAGACCTCACCGCTAGTCGGCTGACGTGCACCGGAATGGGCACCACGATTCTAGTACCGTTTCCAGAATGCTGTCCAGTAGCGCCGTTGTGTCTGCTGGAGGCTCCAGGGACCGCCATACTGGTTGCTCCAGAGCCAACACCGCCGCCGCTCAATCCAGCCTTCACCCTTTTCCATTTGGCACGACGGTTCTGGAACCAGATCTTCACCTGCACCTCCGACAGCTTCAGAGCGTGAGCGATGTGCGACCTCTCCGTGAGACTGAGATACTTCTTCGCGTGGAACTCCCGTTCCAGCTCCAACAGCTGCTCGGACGTGAACGCTGTCCGTCTGCGTCTGGCCTTGTTGTTGCTGGACCCGGTCCCCGAACTGCTCTGCCCGTTCTCCAGGGAACCACCGGGACTGACGTTGCTGCACGCGTTACTGGACATAGCGTCCGATGCGTCCTGGCCGTCGCCAGCGACGGTCAACCCTCCGCCTTCGTCCTCGCTCTCCGCTGACGCACGACCATTCTCTGAACCTGAACAAATGGATGCAGTTGTGAGGTGAGATTAGGGTACAGTAAGGCTTAGGTAAGACTAGTTTCTACTGATTATTTGGAGAGTTTTTAGCGACAAGAAGCTTGTTTGTAAAGGAGTCATATATACTGCCCTTCATAAGGATCTGTAATACACATAATCTGTACGAAAAAAATGCGACGTTTCACAAAAATTATATATTTTGGGTCACATTTATTATCTTATGATACTGTTAGTGTTGTCCATTGAACTGTGTAATTAACGAAAGAATATTTATTTCTGACTTTTAACAAGCTCGTAATGCTTTGTTGCATTCACTTTATATTCGAGTAAGTGTCCTAATACTTATGAACAGGAGTGTACCTCTGCTTTCACAAGGAAGTTTGGGTAGATGATTTTCTTCTGTTAAGTAAGGGGTTATTTTGACCTGGCTGTTGTAATACTTCATTATTGTGATTTTTTTATGTTAATTGGTTGATATATGATTGGCAAAAGTTTTACTGTAGGCAAAAATGATCTTAGATTCTAAAAACCATATTAAGAAGTATTTATAGTGAGAGGTTCTCGAGGGTTTAAATCATTTTGGTCCCAATTCTGAGTTTCTTAAGCGTTCTATTGTTACATAAGCACCTTGATCTTTGGCCTACTTGTGACGCATGCGTATCCATCCTACAAGTACACCTCTTTGATCGATCATTAACACAGTTCGTGAACTATCGAATAAATTGCAGAGACAGAAATTCTAGGATACTGTTAAAAATTTACAGTAATTAATCAATATATTCTTCTCAAACAGTTAATTAAAGGAATAGGACTTCTATTGTAACTATCGGTATGAACATACAAATCGTAAAAAAATTCTGATACAAACGCATTCATACTATGTATTCTGAAGATTAAAGACAGCACGAAATTGAAGGTGTTCGGAACTATTGTTGAATGTTTCACAACCTATGGATTCCAAGAGATCTTATGCTCCACAAACCTATGATCAGAACACTGTCAATAAGGATCGACGCTTAGCGATTCCCTTTCACGTGGTCATAGTTCTTGATTTTTAAAAAAGATGTCCTCGTCCTACCTGTTACTCATGAATACGTTAAGTGGCGCGCCATTAAGTCATTGAACGGTCGCATAGTAGCTCGACGGGGACCGATTAACATCGGTACAGTTAGAGAGAAAGATTTAATATGCGGGGGTATAAGAGTCGTTTCGTCATGAAGAGCATATACTTTCCGATCGAAGTTTTCCCCTTCGTGTTTCTATCATTTTCCACGTGTAAAGTCTCTTTTCCGTGAGCTAGATAGAACAGCGGCGTTGAATAAAGTACATTATGTTACAAGTTTAACCTCTTCGTGACCATTTCTGATGAAATATAGACAGGACCGTGTTTCGTCACTTGGTAACGATGAATTGGAAGATTATTGAATTGACGAATAGTATATATAAATCTTTAACCCAGTGTCATTCTGTACTCTGTCGTCGAAACTATTTTTACAATAATATTGACTGACGTGTTCAGCTACGATATAGAACGAGTAGTGGTGTTGAATTGATCTTATAAACTCGAGAAATGTGGCGTTGCTAAATCGCTAGAGGAAGTACTATGTTTACAGTTCATTTATAAATCTAATGCATAAATATGTAATAATATTAAAGTTTATAAAATCCTACATCTTGCTACAGAGGTCTTACACGACAAATCAGGGGTGTGTAGATGATCGTTGGGATCCATTTTCCAATTTACTGTCATTACCTACCAGATTTCGTTTGTTATGAATGCTTAGCACCGATTGTTAGTTGGTAATTATTTAGTAGCTCCATTCAGCGGAACAACATTCAATAATACATCATAATTCAGTTATATGTTCTATTGAAGTAGCTTTTATACCGTTTCCGTTATACTGAAATCTTTCACCTTCATTCAGATAGAAGAGCCTCTGAGGCACTCTTATTATTTCGTCCTGAATAATACAATTACAAAATTTTTGATTTTCATATACGTCCTTCTCTTGTTATAATAACTTTCGTACTAAAGGGTATTTATCCCGTTAATAAATAAACAAATAAAATAAATGATATATATACTAAGTAATTAAAAATTGAATGTTACTATTTTACTACACCCATAAACTGAATTAAAAAAAGTAAAATGTTTTTCTTCTCCATTCTACCCAGACGAAGGTTAACAAAATAAATAAAGTATCATTCAATTTTCATTTTCCCAAATCAGCCCGCAAGAATACCAATTTCCCTAAAACTCCACAGTCCAGCAATAAGTTTCTATTCAGTTCTCGACTACTCTCAGAGATTAGTCCCCGAGAATCGCGAAATTGCATGAATATCCACGATCCAGCCGTCGCGTCGCGAGGACGAATTAAGACCGCGTCAGGAACAGTTATTCCCGCGAGTGTGCCAGCTGCAACTTCCCTGAGTTTATAGCCATCCTACCTCTTTTATTCAGTTTCGTGTTTACGGCTCTTCCTAGTCTATGATCGAGCACCACGTAAAGTTCCGCCTAGAGGTAACCGGCTACGTAGGAGTTTGATGCACCCGTCCGTTTTATTAATTCAGGGAGTTTCGATTGGACGGGCAACATACTCCCGCGACCGAGACGAGCGTCGGTACCAGAAGAGAGCCGTACGACAAACGTTCGGGCGTTGTCCCCCGGCCGTCAAGTCTCTACACTTTCCGCAAGAACACCAGCTGGTCGATCCGCTGGAACACGGCTATTACATCTCTATCCTGCTCCGTTTCTCTGCCATTATGTTCGCCGATCGAGTCGAGTAATTGCTCGATAAATGTGTACGCGAAGCTTTTGTCGACAGGCTGGAAAATTAGTAACGGTCCCACGGCGGGGCCATTTTCATCCGATGGCGACGACCTTCGGCGTGTTTTCTCGTGGTGAGACGTCATCGAACGTCGTATGATGATCCGATTGTTGATTTATTGTTTCTGTAATCTTGTTACTTTTGGTGTTTTATCATTTTGAAATGAAAATGTGAACGTTCGTTTGTAAACGCTAAATGACATTGGGTTCATTGTTGCAGGTAAAATTCTAAATTTATTTCGAGATGTTTTAATCCCTATGGTACATTAACGCATTAATTCGCATCGGTGTGAAAATAAATGCACCAGCTTGCAGATAATTTATTTTTGTGGTACCTAGTGTCAGTAGTTTTCTAATAATTATTTGAAAATCGGTAATAAACGAAGTCGGCACTAATAGGTTAACAATATTTGTTATCCCTGTCTATCTTTTCACGCCATTTTAACTATACAGAAGATTGCAAAGGTATTCCGAATTTAAACTGCACTAGCTATATTACAATTTTAGTGGATTTCTCAATCATTCGTACCTTAATCATTTAACGTATGAGCTTTTATAGGTATAATATATGTTCAAAGCGTACATGCGCGTAACGCAATAGTTTGTACGTACAATTGTATCATTAGAACTGCGTTTAACTTATTTCTAAATTACATAAAAATTACCAAAGACATATTTTGTTGTATTTTTGTGTATATTACATGACATATAAATGATTGACAAGAAGATTTTAACGTTTTGAAACCGTCTAATGCCATTCTTCATTCGTTGCCGCTTAACAAGTTTTTTTTTTACTTTTGTCAGTTATACGGGGTGTCCCAAAATAGTTGTAAGTCTTTGAAAGGGGTGATTCCTGGGGTGATTTAAAACAACTTTGTCGCTAAGGAAAAAGTTGTTTCAAATCACCCCAGGAATCAGCCCTTTAAAGGGCTTACAACTATTTTGGGACACCCTGTATATAATAATCCCCATTATAATGTTATTATACATAATAAAATCCAATTTTTTGTATCTCTGATCGATAAACCCTCTTGAAATATATGAAAGAAATGAGCATTTCGTAAGTTTCAATTATATTTATAACAATACTCAACACTTGAGTTCCATGAAATTAAAGAGATAAAGGACAAATAATCTATTTATTTTACCGATAAGCTTTCAAATGCACATTCAAATTTCTGCCATGCCACCTATATAAGACTAGAAGAAGCTAATATATACTCACAGATGAAAAAATACATAATACTAACATTGCATTTCGTAATTTAGAGTACATAGCCATATAACAAAAGTGAGTAATTTCCACTCCATTCAATAACTGCTTGTAGACGTCTGTTCAGATCACACATTCTCTTTTTGTTCGCTTCGATTGCTTCGTCACAGAATTATACTTTGGTAACGAGTTCAATTGAAGCGAAACAATTTGCAATTAATCCTAAAGCAAACGAACTACGACCGTCCATAACAATCGAAACTTTAGTCCCTCCAAGGGTTATTATCCACTTCAAGGTTCTTTTCAAAACTACGGAAAATTAGGTTACAAGCGTAGGTAATCAGAAGTTGGCGTTCAAAGTCTTCGATTATAATAGATCGTGAAATTGACAAAACGACTGTTTTCGAATCTGGTTCGAGAGAAGCTAGAGCCGCGGAAATCGTGTCAGCATTACGGTTATTAGAAAAATATGCGGCACAATGTGTCATATGGGACTTCTGCCTGGAGAAAGATTGGCCAACCGCCAAATCGGAGTTCGATCCGGTTTCTGCACCCGTCGGGATGGCGCGTTGCATCCAGACCACTACGTCTCCGTGATATATTCCCGTCCAGCGGACGTCTTGAAAAATGGAAACAGATGTATTCGGTGTACGGTGCCTTTCTACGATCATATTCGGAAGCATCGTCATATTTTACGACGATGAATAGAGGATCAACGTTCCTATATTAACGTTCTCGATGCTGATGACGTGATACTAAGTAAGTATTGAATTGTTCGAAACGTTCAGAGCGTTTCGAGCACAATGCTGTTGTTACTTTATTATTGGGTGAAGGAAAAATCGTTTGATGAGGTTGAACAGGTATTGTATCCCAGGTGTGGATTGAATGTATTTATATTTATTGTACATACAAGTTACAAGTCGTTTTTCTTTATTTTCTGTGAAAAATATCAACGAAAC